TTCCTAAAATACAATGTCTGAGGTATTTGTCTCTAAGAAAGCTGAGTTTTTGTTGCTTAAGAATAAATTTTGAACTGCTACTGAAGGTGTTTGGAACCTCTCTTTGGCACCTTGTTATTATAGGCACATAAAATGTAGACGAGTGGGACTAGGTAGCAGATGATGAAATTAAAGTTGATTAAAATCTGTTTGTCAAAACCCTGTTTTTTCCCTTGTAGAAGGAATTCTACATGAAAAGGTAGGAAGGGAGAAATAAAGGTAGAGCTTGAGGTAATTTGGGGTATCTTGTTCATGAATTGTCCAGTTCAATACAAAAGAACTCTTACAGCTGCTAGGAATCTGACCTGGTGCCCAGAAATGTGTAAAAGCACAGCTGGCCCTGTCTGGGCTGCAAATCAGCTTTAACACTAATGGCAACAACTTTATTTCAAGAGAGTATTTAGCTTCAAAAAATGAATAGGGGCTGCATGTTCCAAATGTCATCTGTCAATTTAACAAATGGCAACTATATACACATCTTAATGCCAGATTGCTGTTTCATTAGGCTCCTTGTGAGTTATTCCTTCTTGGTAGCTGGCATTATTCTAGCTGGAGCAGCAGAAAGGCAGGAGGGAAGAAGCTCCTTGCCACTGCGATGCAGAGCAGCTCCCGGCTGCTTTCCAGGGGGCAGCAGGAGAGGGATGAGGGCACAAAATGAAAATACGCCAGGGGAGGACAGCAGCGGGGCTGTTCCGCGGTACAGCCGAGTTCAGCTGGTCGCAGGAGCGGACACAGGGATGCCTTGGAGCTCGGTGTGTGCTGCAGCCTCGGCACGCCGGCAGGCGCTGAGAGCTGCGGGCCCGAGGGTGGTCTGACAGCTGAAGTGAGCAGGCGGCGGGCTCCAAACGCAGCACTCTGTAGCTCTGTCGCAGAGGATAAAGGCAGATCAAAGGCTCGCAGGAGCGAGCAGGTAAACTCCCAGCGCAAAATGCTGAAGTGAGTGCGTGCTGAGGGAACAGCCGTGGCACAGGGTGAAGGTAAAGATGGGCAGGAGTCTGAGCTGTCGCGCTTTGCCCAGCTCAGACCCACTGCAATGCCATTTCCAGTGTCCTCTGTGGCACAGCAGCACTGCAAGGACTCTCTGCATCTATAGATCAATCCATAGGTTGACTCTCCCTGAGCTGCAGTTGCCCACACCAAAGATGTCAGATTTCCCGTGTAGTAGAAATGCTTCTGAAGTGTCCTGCTTGGTAAGTAATCAAAGTTTTGTGGCTACCATGGCTGAGAGCCTTCAGCCCTCCCCCTTATTACTGGTAGCTCAAGGATCCTTATGGAGCACCCTGACAGGATGAACACATTGGAATATTTAAAAGTGCAATAAAGGTATAGTTTTGAATGACTCATTCAGGCGGCTGCCAGTGCAAGTGCTGCACAGCATGGCTGCAAAGAGGTTGCAGAGAGCAAGAAAGGACTTATTTTCTGTCTCCAGGGCCAGGTAATAGCAGGCTGCTCAATACAGGACCAGGGGGCTCCCTTGCCAAGCAGCTCTGAATGCACAGGTGAGGCAGAGCACAGAAGGGCACCGAGGTAACTTTGTTCACAGGATAAACTGACTTTGTTTGCTTGTACCTCAGCATCCAGGGCAGTTCATGCTGGGATTCATAAACCATGGGCATTGTGAACCACTCTCCCCCATCCCACAGCATTCCCACTAGGAATCTGCTTCTCCTCAGAAGAATCTTGCTTGCTTAAGGGTGAGGAGCTCAGCAAATGAGCTGCTGCATTCAGCACCTTGCTGGGAAGCTTTTGAGAGGGGAAAATTGTGTTGGATCCTCACGGAGTGCTGGCACAAGTGCTGACACATCTGTGCATAGGCAGTGGAGGGTTCTGCTGGAGAGTTAGAAAGTTTACCAGGAGTCCAGCCTCCTACCAAACCTCTCCTTCTCAAACTAGCTAATAATCAAATTGCCCCTTTTTTTTTTCTTTCACTAAAAACAGGTTTTGCAGGGAGATGGAACACAGTTACTTGTCTTCATTTTACTTTAACTGTGTGGAAAAAGTTGGTAAGCTTTTGAACTCAGTGTCCCTACGGCTGGATGTTGAAAATCTTGCCTGTTTTTTTCTGACTGTCATTTGGCTTAATAGAAGAGGTTGCCCCTCCCTACAAACCTTGTTTTTCTTTCGTAATGTGACTGCACAGACAATGGCTGTTGTTTATATCCTCCCAAACTAATGTGGCTGTGATGGCTACCTCTGAGGCTTGAAAGGAGAAAGTAGGAATTGAGTAATGGAAAGCGTTCATTTTTACTGCACTGCCTCCTTGCATGCAGAGAAAGCTCTCAGGGTTAAAGTGCCATGGCAAACCTTGCCCCATAGGTAAATGTGAAATGCTGACACCAGAAAAATCAGTGCCCCTCCAAGAACACTACAATCTCAGTCATAATTTCAGAAGCTGTTCCTGCTTTATCCAGCAAGACAGCACACACAGGCACAAGCAAGTGAGGACAGTGTATCACTGCTCAGGCAGAAATCAGAGATTAGCCCAAGTTTCTGCCCTTGGCAGAGCCCTTAATTTTATTTTATTCCCCACCCCTCCCCTACCCCCACGCCCCCTGTTTCTTTTTTTAAATCACTTAGATTTTTAAAAGACAAAAGGAAGGCACCATGTGAAAACATCACTATGGAAACATCACAGGCTCGCTTGCACTTGCCTGCCAAGCAACTACCTAACTGAAGTTTTACATCCTATTGGATTACTGTTGGCCATCTGCTCTCCTTCAAACTTCTCTGAATTCCATATTTTCCTGAAAAGTTCATTTTTAGAAAGGAGGGAGGAGGAGGCAAAGGGAGAATCCAGTATTCTTGGCTAGTGCAGAGCTATTGTGAAAAAGGAAGATAAACTCACTTTGGAGCAACCTCTTAAAAAGACAAAGATCCATGTTTTGTGAAGTAATTTCATAGAAAATACCTTGTTTCTAGATGCACTTTAATGATAAGAGTATATATTGGCAGCCACAAGGCAAAACACACAAACAGCTGCTTCTAGTACTCTTGCACTAATTGTTGTCCTCTCCCTTTCTCTCATTTAGCCTCAAATGCATTTTCTTCTAAAATGTAACAGTTACTGCCTACACTGGAGTTGTTGGCTGCAGGCTCCACAGCCTTGCTCCAAATAAAACACAGAAACAGATTTCCTGCCAAGCACCGAGGAAGTTTGAAGACTTTAGTTTTTAAAAATATAATCTTTTTATCAGTGCCCTAAGCTTGCCAAAGGTAATTATGGGCCATGGCGCATTTACATTAATGCATAGGACCTACAGACATTTCAAAAGCCTAATGGAGAAACTCCATAAATGTACGTATCGAAAAACAAATTAATTAAATTAAACTGTCATGTAAAGATATCACTTAATTTTGCAGAGCGGAAGGCACTCTTAATGGGAATGGAATGGATCAGTGAGCATTTCAAAACCCAAAGCTATAATTTAAATTCAGGCTCTCCTCTAGTGTGCAAGTCACAAGACATATTTATTATAGCCTTGGATTGTCAATTGTAATCGGTTTAGCAGAGACAAAGCTGTATTGTTTTGCTTCCTGCCCTCCTAGCTGGTTCAATACATTTTGATGTCAGACTATTGACAAGCAAACCAAAGGCTGAAATAAAATCATGTTTACCTGTAATGAACTGGCAAAAATGCAGTCCAAGGTAAATGTAACCCTGAAGCACAAACGCTTATTTATCAAGCAGCAAGGGGAAAATGGTGAAGCATTTAAACTTTCTTTAAATAAACCAACCAGCTGAATCTATTTACTGCTGCTCTTGAGTCCTGCTATGTGGCAACCTACAAACAAATAGATAAAAATAAATAAAAGCACTGTGAAAATGAATAGCACCATTTATATGCTGCTGTTCTTGAGTTCTCCAGGTGCCAGTAACAATTAAATTTGTTGCTCTTCACACTCCTCTAAAGCTAGAGCCAAAGCCTGACACCAGGTCCCCAGCAAACAGACAGCAATACTTCTTCCGGATGTGCAACCCAGTTTGCTGCAGGATTGCACCTGGTAGCAGCAGTTCCAAACCCAGCCTATGCTTCTGCAGCCATGAGCAAGCATCTTCTCATTGAATTAGCCTCCAAGAACGGTTTGATTCTGTTCCTAACATTCTTTCTGTATTCTCTAATTCTTTTGTTAAGTTCACTTTCTGATGCAAAGCACTGAAACCAGCCAGCTCAACAGATTATAATTGTCATGGCTTCCTCTTGCCTTTTTTCCAGCCCCTGTGTGAGCTTAGTCACAGAGAGGTTTCTCTGAGCCTGAACTTAGAACCTTCTACCCAGGAGCTCTGTAATTTCTTGTGGATCTCTCAAGTTTGCAAATGTGACTCTAAAACACGGTGACAAGGTCAAAAGTCATGGTTAGGAAGAGCTGTGGCACAGCAGGCTGGGACATCTGCTTGAGGCACACCTCTAAGGGCAGTGCACAGGAGCAGCCTCCCGGGCTCCTGCTGCACGCTGGCATGGCCATTGGCAGGGAGGGAGGAGAGCAGTGCCTGGGGAGCAAGGAGCAGCCAGCTGCATGGCTCTGAGGAGTGGCTGGTGTTCACACAGCAGCTGATTTGTTTATTTTATAAAAATACCTGTGTATCTGCATTTGTTCTTACTTGGCTAAGTAGCAGGATTTTCAGGTGAATGGGTTCCATTTTTGCTTCCAGTGTAATCTTTCAGCAGTTTGCTCCTCAAGCTAATTATTATGGTAAAATAACACAAAGCCAACCAACCAACCAACCAACCAAAAGAGTCAAAACAAACCCCTCCCCCCATCCACATTTGCCTCAATACTAGACCATTTTTCTTTTGATTACACATTACAGTAAACAGAAGTATCCTTTATAACCTTTCTGGAAAATGATAGTTTTTATTGTGCTACACTATTTTTCTTCCATGCCTCTATTCCAAGATGCACATTATTAGCCTTGATTGCTCTCAAAAGAAATTTTTGTTTTTCTCATCCTCTTCAGCCTCTTTTGGCTTTGCACAAGACTCAAACTGTTTATTAAGTGACAGGTTACCATTGACAAAAAAATCCTGTTCCAACTTAAGGGCTGAAAAATTGGACAAAGCTTTTAAAATGTGTTTTGTCCTACTACCAGTAATCTTTCTACTTATTTACATGGCTCCTACTGTCACACATGTTCCATCCTTCTGAAAGCAATGGGAAAGGAAAGTGTTCATAGCCCCTCTGAAAAAGAAACAATGTTGAGAGATTTAGGTCCTGGTTCAAAACAGAATGAAGGCTCCGATTCCTACTGTCACTGATGTCAGTGATGAGCCAGATGTCTGATGTCTTTAATTTGGACTTCAGTGATTTCTTCAAGGTATAAAAAAGTTATGGTCCAGCTGAGATGTGAATATATCTATAGTGATAAATTGCCATATTCTATCACCAGCCAAATACCATAAACACAAGCATGCCTGTTTCTTTCCAATAAAGCCATCCCAGTCATTAAAAATGGTCTTTTCCTAAATAGCTTTTCCAGCTTAGCTGTCTGGTTCACAAGCCATTCAAGCTCTGAGGCAGATTAAATCTACAAACACAGTAATAACTTTTGTTTATGGAATGGCAAGGACTCAAAGATAGCTCTAAGTAATGGTCAGGAGAATAGGACAGGCTACTGACATGAGTTAAAGGGCTTAAGGCAAAAATATAATTTCTAAACTCTGAAAATAGCTATTATGGTAAAAACACTTCTTTCCCATGTCATTTTGTAAACATTAAGTAAAAACATGAAATACAAATTGAAAGTTATTAAGAGCAATGGTGACAAAGTAATGCTTTTAATATTCTCCTTAAAAACATTTTGAAAGTATTTATTTAAAATATCTAAAAAATTTAACTGTATTCAGTTTTTATAGCTACAAAATTTTGAACACTCTTCTGCATAAAATAAACTACCAACAATTTCATCCTTCATGTAAGTATCCACTAAGAGGTACACAATCAAGACTGAACCGTACTCGTATTCTTAATTCATTAGTGGAACTTGAAGGCCCTCTTCTGGATTATAAATTACTGCATGGCCAAGCAAAGTACACGGAAATGACAAAGCCAACCAGCACTATGAAAAGATAAGTGTCTTAAATGTATTTTATTCATGTTATTACCAACTTCATTTCCAGGTTTTCACTTGTATTTGCCCACTTTGTTTACTATAATTTAGTACATAATTATTTTTATATATATAATATATATATTATATAGATATATTTAGTATATAATTTTTAGAATTTAGGAGCTCAGAACAACTTCTTAGTGGATTCTTAAAAATAAAGTATTTCTTATCCTGATATTCACAAGAGGAGTAGACAGTCTAAAGAGAGTTGTGGAGAGTTTCTCCACAACTTTGTATGAAGGTGCTGTGCAGCCAAGCGATATTTGTTTATCCTTATTAAGCAACAGCAGACACAAACAGACATGTGATTGTGTGTATGTCCCTGTCTACACAGATATGTGACTTTCAAAAATTACCTTTGAAAACCTAGCTTATGCTAAGGTAGAAAAAAATGAGGAAGCATTTGCAATTGTCCTAAGTCTTCAAGGACTGTACAATTCCTTTATATGCCTTTTGAATAAATATACACACAACTGTAAAGGAATTACAAATGTAACCTTCCAAGAGAGTTACTTGCTTGCCTAAGCAAACATTTGCTATTGAAAAGCAAGTTGCTTCTCCACACATAGAAGGAAAAAAAAAATTCTAGAATGTGATGTACAAAAGCACCATTTTAATGGATCTGTCTGTAAACAAGTGGACTTGAACCACCAATTTTCCTCTTTCTAAAAACAGCCATTTAGTCTTTTGTTTTGTCATGATAACAAGAAATCATAAATATAGAAATGCAGGAACAGGTACTAAGTATCCTATTAGTAAAAACTCTGTAGAGAAAATTAAAGATAGTTTGTTTGAACTGCACATTTTAAAAAAGCAGCATGCTGAAGAAACCTTCACATATAATTTTTTGGTAAGCTTCTGTGTCCCACCAGGGTAGGGCTACTGACGACGATCCTTTTTCCGTACTTTGGATTTTGGTGCTGCCAAGAAACAGGAAAGGAAAAGAATCATCAGAAGTGAATTACAGTAATTCCACTGCCAACATTCTTTTAAATTAGGCTGGAATCAAAATGGATGCATTAACGTAAAACCTACCATTGGGATTTTCTTGTCTGTAAAAAGCTTTTAACAATTCCACTGCTTCTTCAGCACGATAGCCAGAAGAGCACTGTTCAAATCAGAATGATGTCAGTGAGCACATCTGAGAATAACATATTCCATGCTTCACAATAATGCCTTGAGTACAGAATAATTTTAAACAACTGTACTGTCAACTTAGGGGTAAAAAAATTTCTCCTTTTCAGGTTTAATACCTAATACATTTTAAAAACACTATGTTGTGGCTTAATAGAATAAGTAATTTCCCTAATAACTTAGTAGTAGGTAAAACAAACTTTCTTAGTAAATTATGTAAATTTTTTATGCAATCTACAATTTCTTTCGTATTAATGTGTTTCCAGCCTCCTATACTCCTCAAGCACTTGGAAACATAAGAGATACATCTAGGTATTTGCAGATAAGATTTCTGACAGAAAATACTTATCCAGATATCTGTTCTTTATTCCTAACAGTCACCTTTCAGATCTTTTGGGTCCTTCTAAAATACTTTTCTATGCCATGAACACTAATGACAAAGCATTTAAATGTCACTCACACTAAATAAATCTCTACCTATGCTACAAAATAAGTATTTACTCCTATACATTCCACAGTTGCCTACAGAAACAAAAGATTCACAGCATCAAGAAACTTCTTTCTGTCTTCTGAATGTATAAAATAATGAAATACCACATGCCAGTGTTAGCAAATGAACACTCTTCCACTACTGACTACACCAATTAATTCAGATGTTGGTCTCACTGACACACTGACAGAAAGATTCCTAATATGTTTACACTGGAGTACCAAACAGTATTGTTTTCCTGACTAAAATTCTTTGAACCTTGAGCCTGTAGTGCTTATTTACAATGCTGAAATACTTTATTTGTTTTTGCATTCATTAAATCATTAATGTGAAATGTGGAAAAGAACTCCAGGAATCAGTATCACTGTATAAGGCAAGATCATGTACAACTGTGAATAATGTAATAAATAAAATGCTATAAATACTCTCTACATGTAGGTATAGGCACATAGGTAGTATCATGTTGTAAAGCACCTAGGTTTATTTATACTCTACCTCCAGTGAATGCTTATCCAGCCTTTCTCACATAACAAAGATGCCTAAATCACCCCAGACACTGTTCAGTCTTTCTGTATCCCTACTATTCAGAAAGTTTCTTAATACCTAAACTGAATTCCCTCTGCTACTGTTGCAGTTCAGATTTATTTTGGGATTTAAACTACACAAAGTAAGTCTAAGCTAATACATTTTACCTCATAAACACACAGACTGAAAACAAAAATACAATCATTTCCAGTGGCTCAGCTAAAACCCAGTAATTTTATAAGTTGCTGTTACTTGATATTTATTGATTATGTGTTTGTACACTCTGCAGCTTAAAATAATTTTCTCTGATCTCTTCCTGTAGAACTTACTGTTCTAAGTATTACATGTATTTTAGATATATTTAATTCTTACCTTGTTCCACAAGCATAATTCTTTCCCTTACCCTTTGACACATCCTTTTAAATAATTTAATACTGTCATCAGGGTTTCCTCAGTTTTCTTTTAGGACCTAACTTGTTTTTACATTATTTTCTGATTAGGCCAAGTTTACTTGACTTTGATCATCTTCCATCTGTGTCCTCTTAAAGTGATGCATAACATTCTAAAAGCCTGGTAGCAAAGCCAGTCACAGTACCCTAGCTGGAAAACAAAGGGAAACATTTTACAGCCTACTTCAAATGGGTCTCCTGAGTCCACCATATCATCAGACGAGATGCTCAAAACGGAGCCACAGCCTCCAAATCGCTCATTTCGACAGCCATACACGACACGTGGAATTTATGGGAGTGAGTCAAGGTATTAAGTGAAAAGCAAGCAGGAAGTACAGAAGCCTGATCTAGGCAGTCATCAGATTTCCTGAAATGTGCTTGTACTCTTCAAACTAAATTAGCTTGAGCTACAATTCCTCCCTCATAAAATCAGAACTTACTTTTGAATGATGTAAGATGTATTGCTGAAGATGCACATCCAGTCTTAGGCGGAAGCATGAATCCCCAAAGCAGAGCATACAAAGACATGGTTTACTGATTGACACAACATTCAAAACTGAACACTGAACTGCACTTAGCTCATTTTACATCCTAACAAACATCTCTGAAATGTTTTTTTAATCTCTAACAGCTGTTTGCCATAACTGCACCATCTCTCTTTCACTCGAGTCCCTTGCTGTTCGTCATGGAGGTGGGTGCAGACCCTCAAAGCAGCCCTCCTGGCTTTCCCTGACACTGCCCAGCCTTTCTTTGTGGGCTCACTGTGGAAGGAGCAATGGTTTTACAGAGTTTCCCAGGGTGAGTCAGCATGAAAGGATACTCATCAAGCGCAGAGCAGCTGCACACATGATACAGGGCTCTACAGTTACGTACAGCACCAGCTGCGGAAACACTTCCCTGTAATCCCTCTTGTGTTGCTTGCACCAGTCAAGGACCTGGTCGATTGCCACCATTTCTGCATGTCGAGTAGCCTAGAAGATAAAAATAAGTATTTTCTTAAAAGTTTGCATTTATTCACTTTTGTTATAGAAGTAATATAATGCTCTTTGCTGGTTCAAGTTGCAAAAGAAATTTTACAGCACCCAGACTGCAGAAAAAAATACTCAATCCAAGAAAGAAAATATTTAACCCCAACCTTTTGTGTGTAGCACACAAGATCTACAAGTGACAGTTTTTTCTTCTATTTTTTCCAAGGCAGAAGAGGATGCTCAGAAGTTCTCCTCTCTCAGTAATGGCAGCACAGTGAGGCAAGACATGAAAGATCTGCTTGAGGCTTAAGGGACACACAAAGCTCACTGGCACAACTGATGTAGCCCATAGCCTGCTCTACTTCCAAAAGCAAGAATACAGGCTGGATCACTTTCTCTGGAAATATTAACAAAGTGCTCCTCGCTGGTATCTTTTCCTCTCTCTGACAATATTCCTGTGCTCACAAGGAATGAATACACTATGAACATGCAACAATTTCAGCATGTTTCTACAACTGCCTGGTGTGCTCTGTACGCACAACATTTTCAGTTTGCCTCAGGTTTAATTCTGCCTGGGGATACATGTACAGTAAGTCCCCATGTAATAGGCTGGGATTTCAGCATATGACTGATTACAAAAGGACAAAGGAATATTAATTTCTCTTTTTTTATCCAAGATAACTGAATGATTAGTATCTCAATATCTGTGGCACAAAAATCTGAACAGAAGTGTCAGTGAACAGACTTTAATAGAAGAGAGACCAAAACAATCAGTAATATCCCAGTACCACTCTGAAATGTCTGCAGCACTGTGTTACACCAATGAAATGTCACAGCAAAAATTTCAGAAATACTAGTTTTGAGAGGACTCTTCAGTTAGACCCTCATGCTTATTTAAATTAAGACTGTTAGATTTTTCCTTCCTTTTATATCTATTCTGAAAAAAGGATGTTTTTGACACAAGCATTAGAGTAAGACTTAATCAATCCAGATTGTATTTGTACTTCTGTTTTGTATGTCCTTATATGACCCCTGATAGCTTCCTCTCAAAACATGAACTTGGGTTAATATTTTAGCACTCTGAAGATCTGCGGTGATAACACTGAGATGCTCTGCAATACATGGTAAAGGACTCATAACTTACTGCTATGTTTAATACTGTTCAAAAACATTTAAAAACTCCTAGAAAGGCCATGCAGCTGCTGCAGGTCCTACCAGCTTCTGCAGTAATAGAAAGACAGCTACACAAACGAGATTACACTAATATGGAACATTACTATACACCTGTGTACCCATATCTCAAATAAAATGCACTGTTTTGGTCATGTCATGTCCTGAACACACAGGAACATCAGGACAAATTCACCTCAGGGTGAGAAAGGATTATCCAAGTTACAGAACAGTCTCCACTTAAGAGACTAATTAGACTGTGGCTCTTAACAGATACAGTCATTAAATTTTCCAAGTTAAGAGGACTACAGTAGAGGTTTCTAAAATAATCAAGAAAAATGTGGAAAAATCACAGTTAAAACTGTGATTTATTATTTCTCATAACAAGTGAGCACCCAATGAAATTATCAGGCAGCAAATTATCAGATATAAAACAAACAAAAGGAAGTATTCTTTCATAAATTACATAATTATATTGTGAAACTCATTGCCACAGGATGCTATGGAAGCCAAAAACATAAATGAGTTCAAAAAAGGTTTAGACAAATTCATGGAGGATATGTGCATGGATAGCTATCAGAAACAATGATCCAGATATAGTCTTGGACTCTGGAAGTCCCTAAGCTATTCACTTTCAGAACTGGAAAGGATGTGCAAGGGGAAGGTTTACACTTGTTTCCTGAGCTCCCTCCTTACACAACCTATGAAAAGTCCATCTTAAAGACAAGATAAAAGGGAAAAACTGACCTTCTAGGTCTGTCTTAAGATTTTGTTTTGTATTAAGCTATGACTAGATAGCCTTTTTTGACTTGCTGTGTATAAAGTAACAGACAAGAAGGATTATTTTAAGTTTGAATCACTGACTCAATTCATAAGCTTAACTTGCCAAATATTACACACTATTTTAAAGCCAAGAAAGCAAAAGCAGGTTGAGAGTAGCAAGGGAAAATGAGAATTGCTACAGAGTGGCAAATGATATATCAAGGGAAAAAAGCTGACTCAGTGGGGTAAAAAAGCCTTGACAGTGCCCCAAACTGAGGCAAACATTTCACAGACTGCCCTAAAAAGCTTACTTTCTAAATTTTAGACCATAATTAACAAGTGAGAGTAAAGGGATCCAAAGCTCAAATTTCTCTGTTATTTTGTGGTTTCACTACACAAACAATACTTCATTTTCAGTTATCCCCTACTGTGCCTGCAAGACACTTGCTACATTGACCCAAAAAGACAGAACAAAGAGGAGATGTCTGTGTGTATCAACAAAGCACCTAAGACAGAGAGCATTTTACTGGGAAGTGAATGATTTGATCACATGTTGGAATAAAGACACCAAAGAACCATTTCTAGATGGGAAGGGTCACATATGCTGTAAGGGAGAAAATTTTCAGGTTGGTCTGAGGCAAGACTGTGAACAAGCAAGTGTGGGAGCTGCCAGAGGGAACACAGCACTGGCACACGCTTGTGAATGAATCACCAGGCTGTCTAAACCCAATGTCTTACACAGACATTTGCTGCACTGTTGCCCAATGAAGACAAGTAGTGTCATGTCTATTTTGAAATGCTGATGCCTCAGCCATGCTCCTAAAAAAATAAAATAAACCAAACACAGCTGTAGACAAACTCCCTTCTCCCAAAAGCAACTTCTCCCAGAAGAATGCAACGATCAGAAATTTTGCAAATAACTTCCACAGAGTAAGCAGCAGTATTTCTGACATTAATGCGTTCTGCTGTGGACATGGTAGGCAAAAAAAAAAAACCCAAACAAACACTAAAACAAACAAATCCCCACAAACAAACAAACAAAACAAAACAAACTAACAAAACAAAAACAAACAAATATGCAGGGTGGCAAGAGATAGCCTGAAAACACCGTAGTTTTTGGCACCTAAATTTTTTTTGCCAAAATGAGCAGTTTAGGCACATAATGAAAGAGGGCATAAAGAAGACACTACCTGCTCCTGACTTCAGCCCATTACATCAGAGGATGCAGGGACCTGCTTAAGGAGAAGACAGAATTTATTGAACAAAAGGCTCAGAGGCAAGCTGACTCCTGACCAACGGCAGAATTGCAGGGAAGGACTGAAGATCTAATTGGATAAATGATCACTTCTTCAAAGCAGGAACTAAATTTTTGTGAAGTTAAAAAGTCAGTAAGTTAAAAAGCTGCATTTTGGAGGCCAGAAAGCTGCCAGTCTTGTAGCAACGCTTTAGAGCATCAAGGCAGAGTGTTACATGAGTGAAACCTTCAGAGCAAACAGAGTCACTGCAATAAATACCAGGAAACATAGGTGTCATACAATCCTGACACCTATAGATCCAGAAGAGTCTCAGTAGTAAAGCAGGCAAGATAACAAACCTTTAAAAGTAGTGTTATAAGGGCTAGTCCTTATAAAAGGTAAATTAAACAAAAAGACATTAAGATAGCTGAGACTAAATTAACCTAGTAACTTTATTTGACAAATGTTTTTCTAGGCAAGAGAAACATCAGTCTCTCTGGACATCTCCAGTGCATCTGGCACAGCACAACCTGTGAGTGGGGAAAACAGCCTAATGCAAGGAATGTAAGGTGAGCAAGAAAAGAAGAGACATTGCATTGACAGGGGAAATATTTGTCCGGAGGGAACTCATTACCCTAGACACTCAAAGATCATGTGGCTTAAATGTTTTCAGTTGTGTCACTGGCATTAACTAGAAAAACCCCAACAGAAAACAGCTGATGATGTGATATCTTTTGTATGATGAAAGACATCACGAGAAGTGACAGGGTGAGAGTGTCATTCAGGAGGTAGATGGCCTTCTAGACAGGAGTAAAAAAAATTCAAAATAACAAATGAAGAATAACAAAACAGCATAGAAGACCAAGGAAGCTCCAGAAAACATGGGTGGACTTTCTTCCAGGGAGAATGTGAAGTACTATTTTAATCAAACAAAGCACAAATCCATCTGGAATAAAATTCCAGTTAAGTGTTCTTAAGAGTTCTGGTTAAGTGAATTCAAGAACAAATGAATCAAAGCTGGAACGGCTATGTGAAAGAATTATTCTAATGAACACAGAAAGTCAGTCTGTCTTCTGAGAGGAAATTAAACAGCTGGCTTGAGAAAAACAAAGCTGAAAAGGAATAAGACTTTAAATACATCCAAGCTATGTAAAATAATGAATGGTGCTGGCACAAGAACAGGGAGATATAAGGAGAACATAAAAAGTTTGAAACTGGAAATCAGACATTTTTTAGCCATCTGAGGAACAATGTTCTGGAGAAGTCCTTCAGTATAAGATGAGACAATAAATTAGTTTTAATTTATGATGTCTGCTGGAACTGCCTCAATGGTTCAGGAGCATTGGGTTTTTTTTCTCCAGGATGGTCCCTAAATAATGCCAGAAATCGTTAGGAGAAAACTGAAAACAATTTCCTACATTCACATTTCATAACAAGAACTGCTTTCAAGCTTAGATTTTTTTTTTTTTTTAGACTACATGGAGAAATTATGTATCTGATAAAAAATTTAGAAGCACTAAGTACCCAGCACTTCCAATCACTATAATATAAACATTTATGAAAATTGAGACACAAAAGAACTGAAACTTGAGCTGAGCAACAATTCAAAAAAGCCTGGGTTTCAGAGATATTAACAGATTACTGTTTCCAAAATCCAGCTGATTTTTTTTTTTTTTTTAATCAGGCTACGTGCATTTTAGTATGTATCTTCAGACAGCCCTGACACCAAAAATGCGTGAAAGCTTCCCTGACGTTTTTAAGTTGATTTTGTTATCAGTCTTGTCAGTTATGTCCTGTCTGTTCATTAACACATGATTTCTACAGAATATTACTATCTCTAGCATGATTTTCCCAAGAAGTGTCTGCTTCCCCATGGTGTTTACAATGGTGTAACATGAGACACCTAACTTCTCTGTCACATGGCTTTCTTAAAGCTGTATTGGAATCCTCTTGATACATTACAGATTGTCCTGCAGAACAAATTACTATTATGATTCATCTTTACTGTTACATTTTGTCAGCTTAGAAGACTAATTTTAACTTTTTATTATGTTTTCAGATTTGAGACACCTAATATAAATTACGGCCAGATCCTGCAGTCAGATTAATTTATACACAATTTACAGTTGTACAAAATCCCTGTTGGCATTAATGGGTCTCTCAGCACCAGATCTTATAGCTAATTTGATGGTTAAAAGTTGCAACAGGTCTAAAATGCACAGGAAATAGCTTTTTGTTCTGGCCTGTGGACAGAACTTCACCAGGAGAGGCTGCACACTCATTTTTCACTCTTAATCCCGGGTGACTTTAGGGGAGCACGCTGGAGACCCAGCAACGGGACAGGCGCAGGGCAGGGCCGGCAAAGCCGCGGTGTCCCCGGCCCGCGGGACTCACGTTCTTCGTCTCGTTCACCTCGTTCCTGCCCCTGCCTATGACCTCGCCGTTGTAGACCAGCAGGCAGCCCACGGGAACCTCCCCTTTCTCCAGCGCCTCCTTAGCCTGCGGGACAGACGGACAGACAGACTCACGAGAAGCACAGGACAGCGTTACGGCAGCGGGAGGAGCTTCCGCCGGCCCCTCCCCGCTGCCGTGAGGGCCCCGCGGCTCCCCGAGGTTTCCCCCGCGGGACAGCGAGAGCTCCGGCCCGCACTGACCATTTCTAGCGCCTGGTCCATCCAGGCCAGCACGGCCGCCTCCCCCGCCTCCGCCATACCGGGCCCGGGCGCTGGTTCCGGGGCACCGCGGGCGGTGCCGCCGCCGCCTCCGCCCCTTCCGCCGCCGCAGGGACCCGAGGGGCGGCCGGGCTCGCAGGATGCTCCGGTCGCTCTGGAGTTTCCTTAAGCGGCACAAGAAGAAATGCCTCGTCCTTGGCACCGTCCTTGGCGGTGAGTGCCCGGTCGAGGGGCGGGGGCGATAATACGGGGGAAACGCGGTGCCGGCCGTGGGGCCTCCCCGCGGAGCTCCCGCCGGAGCGGCCCCCTCGGAGCTGGCGCTGGGCCCCGGTGTCCCCCCGCGGGCAGGCGGGAGGCGCTGTGCCCCGGGCCGCGGCCCTGCGCCCGCCGGGGACACCGGAGTGATCCCGCCGCCGGGAGAGCCCGGGTGCCAGCAGGACTGTCCGCCGAGGCTGGGAGGGAACCTGCGCGCCGTCCCTTGAGCCCTAAAGGACAGGAACTCGGGCTGCCCGGGTGCTCCTACGGCGGGTGGTGGGGTTACTTTGAAACAACGCTGAAGCGCGCAAAGCGTGGGTGACACTGCTGGTGTTTTTGGGACGGAGGCTGAAAACCTCCGCTTTTCCTATGTGACTTATGCATTGAGGTGAATCGTCAAATATCGCAGAATCAACTAAGTTGGAAAAAAGATCAAGGAGTCAAACCTTTGACTGAACGCCGCCTTGCCAGTTAGACCATGGCACTCAGTGCCACGTCCAGTCTTTCCTTACACGCCTCCAGGGACGGCAACTCCACCACCTCCCTGGGCAGCCCATTCCAATGCCTAATCCCTAACGTCATACCTGAACCTCCCCGAGCACGTTAAGACTATGTGCTCTTGTTCTGTCACTTGTTACCTGGGAGAAGCGACCGACCCCACCTGGCTACAATTTCCTTTCAGGTATTTGTAGAGAGTGATAAGGCTCCCCCTGAACCTACTTTTCTCCAGGCTGAACACCCCCAACCAGCCGCTCTTTATAGCAGCTTCACCAGCTTAGTTGCCCTTCTCTGGACAAATATAGATCAGTTGCAGACACAAAACTTTCACAGAGAGGATTTGCATTAATTATTCAAGCAATTTCTCCCGTAAGGCTCTTGTTGAACCTGTAGGGTGGTTATGGTATAGTAAGCTCCGCCTTCCCTTGAAGTTATTTTTGGGTTGTTTTTAGTAGGAAATGAATTTGAAAGAGCACAATGAATCTGTCTCTCTGTTTAATGATGAAGTGCATGGTTGTGCAGCTGGAGATTAGATACTCCTCAAAAGGCACAGCCATGTCTTTGTGCACTCAGTCTTCAAATGTTCTTGTATCCAGTGTAGATGACACAGAACTGGAACTTGCCGGAACAGTTGAATGTTCTGAGGGCTACAGGGCTTTTGTAGTATATTTTGTCATATTCAGGTGAAGTCCCTTGTGAAGATGAATTGTATTTACTTCTGGATTGCTGTGGTTCTTGTGTTGTCTGCATTCTTTCATCATTAATTCCTTCTAGGGTTTTCCAAAGAGTGCCAATTAATCCATGATAGCAGGCTGGGTGATGGTTAGTGCCGTACTGCTCAGACTGCTCCTCCAGTTCACCCTCTCACCTGCAGGTTTTGTGGCTCTGTGAGTGCAGCACACTGTCACGTTTACCACCACACTTGCAGCCCACCACGTTAAGTAAACAAATATGCTTTCACACACCAGGCTGTCACCTGGAAGATGTTCTCCCTCCCCTTCAACTGTCTGTGTGAGAGTGGTGGGATAGTAAAAAAATCACTTCTCCCAATTTCGGTGGATAAACATGGATCAATTCCCAAGTGGGAAAGCACGTATCTGGTAATTTGTGGCTCTCATAGCCTGAAATCTTAAATTCCTCATGCATGAACAGCCTTTTGCCAGCCTGCAAACCAACCTAGCATAACTGAGTTTGCAGTTTTTTCCTTATGATTGGTGTTGTTTATATACAACTCAGTGTCCCTTTCGCTAAAATGCTACTGACTGGATGAAGTGCGCTTAAAGTAATAATTATAGACTAAAATAATGTCATTTAAAGAATTACCAAACCAAACAAAAAAAAAAAAAAAAACCCAAAAAAACACCAAACAAAAAAAGCAACCAAGATGCTCTTCCTCCAATCATGTCAACGTCTGACTGAAAATATTAAACTATGCTATCATTTTCTGCAGCATGGATCAATTATCTATTTCTTCAGGCCATGTAGTATTTGAGGACTGTAGAGAATTGTGTTTTATGCATTTGAGACTGAAGTAAATCTGGGCTTGCACCAGCAGGTGAACATCATTAGCTGCCACCAGCAGCAACTTTGCACCGTGGTATTTTAAGGGAGGCAGGGAGTTGGAGTGAATTACTGCAGAGTGCTGCTTTACAGCTGGTCAGCAGCTGAATCTTGAGAGTTTTGGTCATCTTCATAGGTATGGATCAGATCTTAAAAAAACCCCACGAGCTACAGTAATGCCACCACCAGTGAATCAAAGCTCTGAGATCTGTGGTGAACTCGCCAAAACATACTGCTGAATCTTGAAAGATGGAATGCAACTTTACACACTGCTTTTAAATGAAGACAGAATATTTGGAAGTGGCTGAATGATTTAAGGAAAGCATCCAAATCTGCTGATTTAATAGTGGAGCCTGGAATCTACATTTCTGTGGTGTTTTTTTTAAGAGCTGCAGGTGCATATTCTGGGAAGGAGGGTATAACAAGGAAAGTGGAACATGACAAAATTTAGTGATTTTAATGCCTTAACTGGCACATGGTCAGAGATTAGTGTGAATATTTAATGATTCATTAGACAGTACAAAAGGGTTTCTACATTGTTACTGATACAGTATTGTATCAGTGTTGTGTTACTGAATTACTGCACCAAAATCAGAGTTGGTTGATAACTTTTCCTCTCTTTATGAAGTGGATCCCATGAGTGTTATCAGTGGCTGTCATTCTTCGTGCAATTTCTCTCAATCCCAACACTACAACAGATTTTACTGCTTATGGAGATAAAAATCTCATTAAATAAGAGCTCAAATTGAGGGGAAAAGCAACTGAAAAATATGTGTAACTCCCCTTTAACCACAGAGTGGGGTTGAGAGGGCCTCACCTTAGCAAAGACCCTGTACAAACCCTTTCTTTAGGAGTTCTTTCTTTAACAGTATAAGATACTTTGCATACTAAAAAGACTTAAATCTCTTCTAGCAAGCAAAATCTAGTGTTCTGGGATAAAACCCACTAGAAATATGGAAAGTAGAGAGAGAGAGAACATGAAAGAGCTGCAAGGACATTAGGTTCACATGTTTATTGGATGATTTGATTAAAGTAGTTTTTATCTCAGTGCTCAGAATTCAAGGTAGATTTCAGTAGATATTACAAAATGATTCACCCCTGAAATTCTGTTGCTACAGTGGAAGAACCAGCTCAGGGTGTGTCTGGAATGTATGGTTCTGGTTTCAGTGGTGCATTAATTATTGCTGAATTTAATCTGTTGCAACCTTTGGCTTGCAGAAAAAGCATTTCAGTTCAGAAATCTCTCTGAGAAAGAAGAGAAAGTTGGGTTGGTTTGTAAGTAAGCACAGGGGCACTGAAAGTATTCTGGTGAGACTCAGTGTTACCAAGAGAATAAGGTTTTAGTGCCTGCGTGTTTTAAAGATGGTTTTCAATCACCACAGGACACTTGTATGTCCCTTGATGCATGGCTTGCTTGAACATAAGGACAAACCACAGCTTACAGAGCTGTTTGTGTCCTGGAGGGATTCAGGCTTCTGTGTGTCAGCACAATTTCTATATAATACAATTCTTAAAACTGAAATTTTCCCTTTTTTTTTTCCCTGAGGTAAGTATGGCAGTGAGGTCAAAGGTTACTTAGGGTTGTAAAAGAGACTTCCTGAAAACTTGATGCCTCCTAATTACCTATCCCATTTTTCTGCTCAGCTCTCCAATCCACCTGTGAAGAAAGGCAAGGGCTGAGGGAGAGGGAAGCTATAACTTTTGTGATGTGAGAAATACCCTACCTCTTGGGGACCACTAGAGTGAACATGTAAGAGCCTGCAGACTTTGTAAACTTCTTGCATTACGTACATTTAGGTGGGAAGAGACTATACAGTGCTACAGCCAAAGAGGGATATGGAGACAAATCAGAGCATATTTATCTCAAAACAAAGTGTTGCTTCCACAGGATATAGGTGCTGTAGACCCCAGGGTGCTTCCCAGCTAAAGCACCAGGGTGCCATTCACACACACACACACCACTTCTCCGCTGGGATGAGGGAGAGAATCAGACCTGACCAATGCTCAGCAACCCCTGAACAGTGCTCCCCCCTCCCTCTGTATTCTCCCCTAATTTTACTGCTCAGATGACATCCTATGATGTGGTGTGTCCCTTTGACCTTCTGGGATCAGCTGTCCTGGCTGTGTGTGCTCCCAGCTCCTTCTGACCCGCAGCCTCCTTGCTGGTGGGGTGGTGTGAGAGGCAGAAAAGGCCTTGGCTTTGTGTGAGCCCTGTTCAGCAGCTACAAAAACAGCTCTCTACTACCAACACTGTTCCCAGCTACTGTGAAGAAAATTGACTCCATCCCAGCCAAATGCAGCACAGACAGCCAGTGCGTATGTAAATACATTTCACTTTCTAGATCAGTTGTAAAACAGTATCAATTGTGGTTTGAGATCCTTACTGAAGTTCCTGTTCTTGAAGGATCTGACATCAGGTGATGGGGTTTTTTTATCACTCATCTGTTTCTGAACCCTCCAAATCAGATGTGTTGGGACTATATTATTTTCTATAGTTCATATTTTGATGAAGAGAGTTAAAAGTTTCCATAGGAATTATCTCCTGCACAGCCTCACTGTTTCTGAATTTTCTTAATTTCTGGTTTTATGTGAAACATATGGGAAGATTCAGCATGAAGTTCCATCTATACAATAGTTTAGCTCATTAGACATGAGTAAATCTTGCTGCTGCAACTTTTTGCAGACCTCCTATCCTATACTGAGTGGTACAACTAAGTTATATTAGTTATTATAAAAAGCTTATATTGGCTTT